TTCTTTGTCATTTAGAGAATGGGAGGCCAAACTATTATTGTTACAAAACATCATGGATTATTGGTTAATAGTACAATCAACGTGGATGTATCTGGAACCGATATATACATCACCCGATATTCAAAAGCAAATGCCAGAGGAAAGTCGACGTTTTAGTGCTGTGGACAAAGTACATAATTTATATATATTTATTTCTACTTTGCACACGATCAATAATATTATCAATAATATCGTATATAAGTATTGATCATTTATAATTCTATTAACTTGAATTGGATTGAAAATATTATTATAAAACTCTATTGACGATATTATTTTCAATACTATCGTGCGAATCCTTTTATTTGAAAGCGCAATTTAATTCTCACATGAGACAAAGAAAGAGAAAGAGAATTGTGATTAACTGCTTGTTCATATAGATTTGGAGGGAAATTATGTCAATTGTAGTGGAGGATCCTCGAGTTATGTCAGTCGTTGGAATCGATAAAATGCTGGAAAAATTTAAGAAATGTACAAACTTGCTAGATTTAATACAGAAAGGACTTACCGCCTATTTGGAAAAGAAAAGATTGTACTTCCCACGATTCTTTTTCTTGTCGAATGATGAACTCTTGGAAATATTATCGGAAACGAAAGATCCTACCAGGTACAATTTTAACATTAGAAGCATTAAATTATTAATTTAATTCTTATCCTTCTATTCATTGCCAGAGTGCAACCGCATCTAAAGAAATGCTTCGAAGGAATTGCAGAAGTAAAGTTTACCGAATATGATTACATAATAACAGCTATGAGATCCTCTGAAGGAGAGGAAATTGTTCTTGAGGTCACTATTGATACAATGGCTGCTCGAGGCCAAGTTGAAAAATGGTTACTTGAACTTGAATTTGCTATGAAGAAAAGCGTTAAAGCACAGGTAAGATACGAATCGTCGCAACGATAATAATTCGATCGAAAATTTAAAGATAATAATCCAAAAGGGAAATATATTCATGATGTACCAATTTTCTCACAGAAAAGAAATAAAATTTTTTTTAACATACATATATATATATATATATAGCAAATATATTAATATATTTTTAACAGGTAATTCGAGCAAAGGATGCGTATTTAATAGAGGTTAGAACACAATGGGCTTTACATTGGCCTGGTCAGACTATTCTCTGTATCAGTAAACTTTACTGGACAACCGATGTGACAGCGGCCCTATCAAAATCTTTACAAGCTGTAAAAGATTACATCGATGTTTGTACACACGAATTGAATGAAATAGTAAAATTAGTACGTGGTAAATTAACAAAACAGAACCGTGTAACATTGGGTAATAATATATGAAATATCGTGTATAAAAAGTAATGCAAAATTTTTAAATCATAGTCATATAATGTAATATAACTTGTTCACAAAATGTAACAGAGGCATTGGTTACAATGGACGTCCATAGCCGAGATGTTGTATCTGGATTGTACGAAAAACGAATTTCCCAACCGACGAATTTCCAGTGGTTGGCTCAACTAAGATACTATTGGATGGTAAATAGATATAAAAATAAGAAATAAAAAATAACATAAAATACAAACAATCTCACGATCGACTGTAAATATTATTATTATGTCTTTTTTTAGGAAGATAATTTATGGTCAACGATGATAAATACGTCTTTAAGATACGCATACGAGTATCTGGGCAACACATCTAGGTTGGTCATAACACCGTTAACCGATAGATGCTATCGTACTTTATTCAGCGCTCTAAGCTTGCATCTTGGCGGTGCGCCTGAAGGTCCAGCCGGAACTGGGAAGACTGAGACTACTAAGGATTTAGCTAAGGCTGTAGCCAAGCAGTGTGTTGTATTTAATTGTTCCGAAGGTTTGGATTACATAGCTTTGGGTAAATTTTTTAAGGTAAATTATTTCACGCTATTATCTTTCAATTATATTACACTCAATACTTTCATATTTTGCCTCTTTCAAATTTAGTTTACAATTCTGATATTATTACACTTGCTATACATATTATTATAACATGAACCATATAATATGTATATATTTTATCTCTATCAAATTTATTTTACAATTGTGATATTATTATATTTATTATATGTGTATTACAACATGAATGATACATTGTGTATTATAGGGATTGGCAAGTACCGGAGCATGGTCTTGTTTCGACGAATTTAATCGGATCGATTTGGAAGTATTGTCAGTGGTGGCACAGCAAATCTTAACTATTCAACGAGCCATTAATGCTGGACACGATTCGATAATTTTTGAAGGTACCGAGATCTCGTTAGATCCCACCTGTGCTGTTTTTATTACGATGAATCCCGGTTATGCTGGAAGAACCGAGCTTCCTGATAACTTGAAAGCGCTGTTTCGACCAGTTGCAATGATGGTACAGACAGATAATCGTTCGTAAAACTTCTTATTGGAACTTTTTTTAGCAAGAAGAAATTAATTTTCCTTCGTTCTTCAGGTGCCGGATTATGCTTTGATCGCCGAAAATACGTTATACTCGTACGGATTTTACGAGGCACGACCACTTTCGGTAAAAATCGTAACAGCTTACACGTTGTGCTCGGAACAATTGTCCAGTCAAAATCATTACGATTATGGAATGAGAGCGGTGAAATCCGTTCTGATAGCTGCTGGTAACTTAAAAATAAAATATCCGGATGTGGATGAGAATATTTTAATATTGCGCAGTATCAAAGACGTCAATTTACCCAAGTTTCTTAGCGAAGACTTGCCATTATTCAACGTATACATATATATATTAATTTATTATTTAATTCAAAATTTGTTTCTTTACCGTTTTCTTAATCCCGTTCTCATTCGATTTTAGGGTATCACATCCGATCTATTTCCTGGTGTGATACTTCCAGCGGCAGATTATACCGATTTGAATTCATGTATCTTTGACGCTTGTACAACGTCCAATTTGCAATGTACACCATGGTTTTTAGAGAAAATACATCAAATTTTTGAAATGATGATCGTTCGTCACGGATTTATGATTGTCGGTTTTCCATTCGCTGGAAAGACAGCAGCGTATAAGATTTTAGCTGCTGCATTAACCCTTTGCGAAGAGAGGGTAACCCTTTACTTGTTATAAATGCAAAACTGGATTTATACTTTATATATATATATATATAATATATTTATTAA